TTTTAACTTGGTACTTCTGAATTGCAAAGCTGTTGCTGCAAATTATTTTCTAAGGTGGCTGAAGACTTAAAATAGATGATTCTAAAGGTGAATCAGTAAAGTGTGTGAATAATTGGTATCCCAAATCACTGTGTGCCTGAGAAAATAAAAGGTAATGTTTTATTTTCCTTATCTCTTCTCTTTCTTTCCCTCTGTAATGTAATGATTGTGGAGACATGACCACAGCAAGGAATAATTCAGGGAGAAGGGAAGAGTTGCTCCTAAAAATGAAGATACCAATCAGATGGTCTGGGGGAAGAGGGTTGGGTACGGTTAAGACAGAGGCTTGATGGAGAATTGAATTCTAGTGTCTTATGTGGGCACTCTTCAGGTTTTTTTCTGCAATACCCCTAAGTCATAAAATATCACCTGCTATTCAGTTAATTGTTAGTGAGTTGACTCAGACTGGTAATAATTATGATTCATTTTTAAAATGTTAGATGACTGTTCTTTTATTTTTTTTGTTTGTTTTTTTAAACTTTTATTTAATGAATATAAATTTCTAAAGTACAGCTTATGGATTACAATGGCTTGCCCCCCATAACGTCCCTCCCACCCGCAACCCTCCCCTTTCCCACTCCCTATATCTTTTATTATTTTTTAAAGATTTATTTATTAGAGTTAGAGGGAAAGACAAAGAGAGACATCTATCCACTGGTTCAGATGGCCGCAAAAGCCAGGGCTGGGCCAGGCTAGAACCACGAGCTTCATCTAAGTCTCCCACATGGGCAGCAGGGGCCCAAGCACTGCGGCCATCTTCCATTGCTTGTCCAAGGCCATTAGCAGGGTACTGGATCAGAAGTGGAGCAGCTGGGACACAAACTGGCACACATATGGGATGCTGGCATTGCATGCAGCAGCTTAACCCATGTTGCCACAACACTGGCACCATGACTGTTCCTGAGAGTGCATTCCACCTGCCATGAAACTTTGATCTTGACATCTAGGACCATAATTGTCCTTATTTGTAGCAGATTTGATACTGTTGTACATTTTTTGGTAGTTGTTTGAGGTCAGAACTGCTTGCTAGCAGACAACATGGGGCATGGTAGCCACACTGTCATTTGTAATGGGGCTGTGGAGTGCTTGCTGGATGAGCATCTTGTCACCACACCGTGCTTGTCAGCCAAGCTTGTGCAGTGCTGTCTGCCGTGTTTTCACTCCTTGATCAGCACTCCAAGAGTTGGAAAATATGTATCAGTAGTGTACTGTATTATGAACTAGACATTGACCATTTTTAGTAAAAGGCGAAAGATTTATACGATCTGAAGAGAAACCAGAGTATAGACATTGACCATTTTTAAGAATAGCACTTCATGCATGGTGATATTAAACAAGGTATGCATAAATGCTAAATTCATACTCAGTTATTCTTCAGGTTCCAACAAAGTTGATTATCCAAATTGAGTAATTGCTAATCTATAAAACTTTTAAAACTGACTCAGTATTCTATAAGGTAGTGTACTGGATGAAAAACTTATTAATCACAAAACACATAGTGAAGTGGAGTAGAAAAGGGTCAGTAGAATGCATATTGAACCAAAAATGAGTAATTTGAAAATTATACAATTCTTAAAATAGTATGTAATTGCAGTGATACACTTTAATGTAATGTAGGTGTAGTTATCCCAGGAGGCAGGAAATTCATGACCACCATGAAGTAGTAGAAGCCAAGAGAGAACTGCTGTTGGTTACAAAGCCACTTTCAGTGGAACATTCTGAACATGATATGTCTTAAATCCCTCATCTCTTAAAAATCCTGCCCTAAGTTGACTGGCAAAGAAGTCAGGGACATGAGTAGTTTTCAACTAGATTTTTTCAGTTCATCATGCTGCTGCTTCAGTTAATTAATTGGTTTTGTATCATTCCATTTCTATTTTAAGTCCATACTAGAACCACTTTGAAATCAGCATTTTAATTTTCATAGTGCATGAAATTATTAGACGGACTTGGGATAGATTCTGGGTACTTTGAACCTGAGAATATCTTCCTTCCCTCCACATAACTACTGAGTACAGGGGAAGTCTTGCTTCCTGTAGGGGGAGGAGGTAGTCCTATCACAGAGCTTTCTTATCCACGGGCTGGCAAGTAAGTACCAAGGAACGATTGTAGAGTTACAGATGTCAGTGAGACTTTGGCTTTCAAATCTGTCGAATGATTGGCTCCACCAAGCTGTGTCAGTTCTCCTTGACTACAGCAAGTACTGAGCAAACTGGCCCAACGAAGAAAGAATTCAGGAAACCAGAGGGGAGCAGCTTTCCAGAACCTCACAACCTGCCTGCCTCACATTCCACCACTTATTTTTGATGTATTACATTAATTGCAGCATTGTTACTAGTCTGAAGCAACTGAAAACAAAGTGAACACAGTCCATAGGGGAGTGGTCCAAACAATTGATTCATGCACACCATGGAAGATTGAACACCCAGACACTAGTGAGTTGGAGAGATTTCTAGGCAGTATTGTTTTGTGAGAGAAGATGCAGAAAACAAATCACTCAACTTTTCCCCAAATATTTTAAACTTAAGCCTTTAAAAAATAAGCTTGTAACTGATCATGTGTATCTTTGGGGTACTGTGTAACATTTCAATACATGAAGACACTATTGCAATACAACGTGAGCAGGCCCGTGATAAGGTTTGTACTGTAGAAGCAGAAAAATTTGGTAGGAACAGGAGCAGTGGCAGGAATATAGGCCACTAGAATGGGAGAGGATGGGCCACAGTTGGAAAATGTGCCAGTGTGTTGCGGTTAGTGATAGCTGAGCTGAGGTTAGTGAGAAACACAAATTGTCCAAAGGAAAAGGAGGAAGGCAGGTGTTCAAAGACCAAAGCACAACAGCCTGTCCAACAGTTCAGTGCAGCTAGAACACAGGGGGCTAGACAGGAAACAAGGCTGGAGAATTACATATACAGGTGTGTGTGAGGGAGAGGGCATGAGAGAGAGAAGAGACTTGGAAGAAGATGAACATCATGAAAAAGTATGCATGGGTTTCAAAAAAATTTTTGCATCAAAATTAACTTTTTATTTTATTTTCCAGAAACTATTTGAAGTACCCTCAAATATCAAATGATGGAGATTCATAAAAATGATTAAGAATTAACAACTATAGGTCTTGTATTTATGGATGAAGAGATATTGAAGTGACAATAAGATCTGAATTTTAATTTTTGTTTACTTGAAAGGGAGAGAGAGATAACTGTCCCATCCACTGGTTCACTCAAATGCCTGCAACAGCCAGGGTCAAAGCTGGGAGCTGAGAACTCAGTCCAGATCTCTCTCATGGGTGGCAAGAACCCAACCATGAGCCATCACCACTGCCTCCCAGGATACACATTAGCAGGAAGCTAGAATTGGGACTCAGAGCTGGGACTGGAACCCAGGCATTCTGACATGGAATGCAGACATCCTAAATGGCAGCTAGTCCAATCATCTGTCCTGTGTTGATGTTTTAGATGACACTCTGCAGTCTGGAGGAACTGAAGAGGGTCAAGACAACCAGAGAGAAGTGATGAAGGCCAGAAATAAGACTTAGTGATGAATATGGGGCAGGGTTCTGTTTGAGAGGTATAGGAAAGAAATTTGGCAAGTATAGAATGTAGGCTGTTAAAAGAGGGAAGATGCTGTGCTGGCTCCTTGGTTTCTGGTATGCATGGTGATCTAAGTATGAGCAGCTTGGAGGCTGGGAGGTAGTAATGGATTTCAAATTTGGGGCATGGTGATCGAGAGCCACTAGGTAAGCAGATGTATGGATCTGAAACTCAAGAAGAGAGAGGCTGGAGATAGAGACTTGGAAATTATCAGTGCACATAGGTGGTATTTGAGCTTCTGGTGCAGATTTGATACCAAGTGAGAAATGGTGGCCAATAGGACCCAGCACAAGCAAAGAGCTCTTCAGAGGAGACTGACGAAGAGCACCCTGGTGGGGAGCATCGCAAGCAGCAGAAAGGAGGAATTTTGAGACACAGGATGCTGTTACACATTAGGAACCAAAAATGTTCATTGAAAACTCAGGCAGTCATTAGGAGGAAGCAGGGACATGGAGGCCCTGGTGGAGTATGTTGAGATACGAACAAGAGCCCAGGAAACACAGAGCACTCTGAATAAGCTTAGTATTGGCAGTCAGAACCCCATAGACACAATGGTTAGGTAGGCAGGGATTTGCATAGCTTTCCCCTTTATTCTAAATTTTGTATCCCTTTTAAGATTTTTATACATTTTTAAATTGCATCACTCTGAATGTTAAAGAGGAGAAAGTGGAGTGGCTGGGGAGTGGGGAAAAGAGGTAAGCCTGCAGTTCTCAGATTAAAGAAACCTGGGGAACTTCCCAACAATGCCCCTACCTGGCCCTTATCACCTCTTAATCATAATCTCCTCAGGGAGGGGCTGGACTTTGACTTTTTTTTTTTAAGAACTCTAGCTAATTCTGATACCAGCTGAGGGCTGAAACCATTGAGGAAGTTTTTCTGTTAAGATGGGAATGTCTGAAGGCTGTTTAAACACTAAAGGAAATGAGCCATCTACAATTTACTCACTGATTTGAGATGCTCTTAGTTCATAACAGAAGCATTGGGTTGAAAATTGAGATGTAGCAGATCTTATTTCTGATTGTCTCCAATTAGCTATGTAATGCACAAGTCAAAACATTTCTGCGTGGATATTCAGTGACGAGGATGTGGTTCTTATTACCTAATGTCCACTTCAGTCTAGCTGGTTTTTGTTTTTTTCATTTACAACTACTTCTGGAACAAAATCATGTCTCTTTAGAATAAGTAACTCATTTGTACCTGTAGTTAAATATAATTCCGGCTCTAATCTTAGGATAGTTTGTTAGCCTTTTCTTTTTTTCTTCCATCTCTGAAGTAAGAATATCAAAGTTCACAGGATGAAGCTCATCCAAGAACATCCTTAGAGAAAAACATACAAGGCTTAGAGAAAACTCGTTCTTTGTTCTCCTCAACTTTCAGTGTGTGCACTTCAGTAGAATTTATTTAAAGTTAGTTTGTTCAATTTTAAACAAAATGTTTTAAAGCTGAAAGAAATGAAAATCATGTGGTTCAGACATTTCGAGCTGAAAGAGGAGAACACGCCTGGACTCTGAGAGAAAGTTGGTGGCTGAGCATCCTGTTCCCCTTGCTGTGCTCTCTGTGAGCCAGCTCTGGCAGATGGGAGCCTACAGAGGCCAGGCTGCAGAGCGCCCAGCCTGGTTGTCTTGATGCCTGGAAGGCTCCTAGAACACAAAGCCAGAGTTTAGTGAAAAGTTGGTTCCATAACCACTTAAACTAAACATAATGTGATGAAGTTTGAATCCTTTGAAAATAACAAATCCTACAAAATTGCATATTTAATAATAAAATATTTGAGACATGATATATATGAAGTCTTCAAAAAGTTAATGGAAATATGTATTTTGGGAAAACTGTGCAGGGATTTCAATTTTTTCACGCCAAAATAAATGTATTTTTTAATTCCATATGTCTTACTTTTTGAAGTACTCAGAGGCAGAAAGATAGATTCTAACACTTTAGTTTCAAATCTTTGCTGTGTAGTTTAGATAATGATACTAGGAAAAAAGTTTGTTATATGTCAAGGTAGATGTAATTTCCACCCATCAAAATAAGCAAAGCCTTTAGAAATGCAAAAACATTTATATAAAATAATTGAAATGAAGGGAAAATTATTTCTAAGTAGCAGTTGCAAGCATTGTCTCAACTCTTGGCTGTGTAAGTGGAGCATTAGATCAGATAGAAGATACTTTCTGGCCTAGAAATTTCAAGCTTAGGAAATGGCAGTAAAGGGTCTAGAGGTATGAGCAGTCATAGAAAGCGTTCTGTGTTAAAAATGTGTACTAAGAACTCAGGAACAGATGTTAACAACTGAATTTTCAGACTTAGCTTGTGAGCCTTTTGAACTTTCTAGTTGGTAGAAAACCCTAGAACAAAAATAGGATTTATTCAAATAGAAAAAAAGGAACAATTATATTTGTAATTTTATAGAAAACACTGTTAGCAGTCTATTTTACTTTTTGACTTATATAAAGGGAACAAATTTCATATATACAGTTTTAAGAGTGTAATGATACTTCTCACCCTACCCTGCCTCTTTCCCTCTTGCTCTTTCTCCTCCTCCCTTTCTTATTTTTCTTTTAAATTTTACAATGACACTTTCAATTTACTTTTTAATCACAAGGTTAACCCTCCACTAAGTAAAGAATTCAACAAGCAGTAAGCAGAAAAACCACTATTCCTCAAGAGTATAGACAAGGGCTATAAATAATCAAATCACAAAATGTGAATTTTGCTCATATACCTTTTTTTGTACTCTGTGTATTAGTTATCACAAATCAGAGAAAACATGTATTTGTCCTTTGGGTATTGGCTTATTTCACTAAGCATAATGGCCTCCAGTTGTATTCATTTTGTTGTGAAAGACAAGATTTCATTTTTATGGCTGAGTAGTTTTATTTCTATCTTTTAAAGTTCTAATTACAGGTTCAATGAGTTAATCTGAAAACAGGGAAGTTCAAGTTTGTTCGTGTGGTTTCTTATTCAGTTGTGCTGTCCCCTCTAAATTATGAAATGTTGGTAACATCCATAAAGCACCTAGCACCTAATCTATAACAGACCCATAGCAAGTGGGAGTTCCTCTCCTCGTGGATCCCCTTGCTTTCAGTGGTAGACATAATAGCATTTCTTTAGGAAGTCACCTATGGAAGATCCTGTGGCAAGGAGGAGGTCCAAATATTTTCACTAAAGAATAGGAGACCAAGTAATTTAAAATTATGCCTCTTGGATTTCTGAGTTATTTGTGACTCATAAATTAACAGTTGGCCTGTTTGGGTGCAGCTGTTGCTATTCAGTACCACTGGGAAGCACTGAATTCTTGGCCTGATACCTCAGACAAATCAACTGAAAATATGGTTTAACTTGAAGTCAGTTTTAACCTCAGAATTTAAAAGTTTTATAATCAAATTAGAGCCAGCTTTCTCATTATGACTCTCATTATACCCCTCAGAATACACAGGAAAAAAAATAAATTTGTTTTTCTTATGGAGATTTTTCTATATTTAACTGTCTGTTCTAACTTTTGGCTGGGCATGAGTAAGCAAAACTATGCCCTTATTACAAGCGGAAGAGACCAGTTGGCCCATAGTTAAATCACATGTAAAGTTCTCTCAAGTAATCCTATCAATTTCATCTTTTTACATTAAAGAGCTCAAAGATTATTATTCCTATTTTGTAATTTAATGAAATGAATCAAGAATCATGTGCAATAAGGTGTGTTTGAAAATGCCCAGGAAATTTCTTTGGGAAAAAAGGTAATAAAGAAGGATTTCTTCACCAAAATTTAATATGTAGAGGTACTGAAATCAGAAGAAATAGATTAGTGGAATAGAGGAGAAAGTCTAGAATCAGACCCATGTATGCATATATTACATAGAAAGGTATCATTAAATAGCATTGGAAAGCAAGCTTTGTAGAAAATTAAAGGTGAATTAAAGATTAAAATGAAGAAAATTAAAATACAGCCACAGGAAGAAACATGGATAAACTCAAAAATTTTAACTTGAAAATTCAAGCTGTAATCCTACTCTACTAAAATATTTTTTTGCATTTATTATCCTGTTCATACTTATATCGTCTAACATAGAAATGTGTGTTCATTTTTTTTTTAGGTTTTATTTATTTGAAAGGCAGAGTGACAAAGAGGAAGGGAGATACAGAGATAGGAAAGAGATCTTCCATCTGTTGGTTCATTCCCCAAATGGCTGCAATGGCCAGTGCTGGGCCAGGCTGAAGCCAAGGCCTTCAATTCTATCTGGGTCTCCCACATTGGTAGCAGGCACCCAACCATTTGGTCCTTCATCCACTGCTTTCCAGGGCACATTAGCAGGAAGCTGAATAGGAAACAGAGCTGCTAGGACCTGAACCAGTACATACGGGGTGCCTGCACCACAGGAGACACCTAACCTGCAGAGCCACAACACAGGCCCCTCATTATATTTTATATTTCCTTTTATTTGATAATGTTATGACCTTCATTCTTAGGTCCATGTAGCATTTTTAGTTTTCATTTTAAAATGATTATACTTTTGTAGGCATATACAATTCTAGCTAACAGTTTAGTGTAAAACCCTTTGGAGTCTGTCTGCAAATATATAAAAATATGTTTGAGAGGCCAGAGCTGTTGCATAGTGGGTAAAGCTGCCACCTGCAATGCTGGCATCCCATGTAGGCACCCATTGAAGTCCCGGCTGCTCTGCTCCATAACTAGCTCTCTGCTATGGTCTGGGAAAGCAGTCGAAGATGGCCCAAGTCCTTGGGCCCCTGCACCCACTTGGGAGACCCAGAGGAAGCTCCTGGCTCCTGGCTTCAGATCGACCCAGCTCAGGCCATTGCGGCCATTTGGGGAGTGAACCAGCAGATGGAAGACCTCTCTGTTTCCGCCTGTGTTGCTGCCTCTCTGTAACTCTCCCTTTCACATAAAAAAAAAATAGACCTTTAAAAATATATATGTTTGAATAAATTTACCTCACTGACAATAATGAAAGAACTCTGTACACAGTATATCTTGGAAAAGAGATTACATTTAAAATCACATTGCCCAATAAAATTTAAAACAAAAATATCTGCTATGATTTTATTTGGAAATCAACTTGTAAAGAAGTTTTTTTTCCCTAAATTAGTTTATAGACTGGATTTTAAAAACTTTTACGTTAATTCATCTGTTCTCATGAATATACCATTACATTTTATTTTTATCTGAGATTCTGCTTAATTTAATTTATGACACTTTCTTGTATTGTTATAATTTGATTTTGTAATTTAAAAATTTATACTTTCTTTTCCTTTTTCCATTGTTATTAATTATTAATTGTGTAGTGTGCATTTTGCTTATATTAGTATTTTTAATAAATTTGGAGGTATATTTCCTATTTTTAACATACATAATGTATATTCAAATGTTTAGTATATAAATATTAAAGTAATTCACAACCATTCATAGTCTTGCAATTATCAATTTATAACTAACCAAGCTTATATACTTTCATTTATTTTTAAGGACAGAAAAATAATCTTATGCTCTTTGGTATGGTAATATTTTCTGTTGCCTCATTCTTCATTATTTATTAAGTGGGAAAATCTTGTTTTATGTTCTGAAAGTAAGGCGTGCTTAAAGAATGATGGGATAGTTCAAAAAGATGCAAGAGTCAGCTTGAAAGGACTGTTGCTGGTCAAATCTGGGACAATTTGAACACTCAAATACATAATGATAATGATGAATCATAGCCCACTAATAAGATAGGAATATATGAGTCCATCCTCGTTATAGAACACCCCCAAAACTGGTTGGAGGTGTTGCTGGAGAACCCTAAACTTGGGTTTGCTGGCTTGATGCACAGCTCAGTTTGGTGGAAAAGAGTTGATGTTTATTGCAAAATGCAGAGTAAGGAGTCCAGCAGCTAATGCTAAATTCCTAGATTCCTGGTGGGATTAAAGGCAGTGAATTGTACAGTTCAAAGCTGGGCATGAGCAGTAGCCCTCTCATTGGTCCACAGTGCATGTGGCCTTTCTGGGATTGGTCAGTGATTGGGGTCAGCATTCTTCCTTAAGAATGGCAAAAGTAGGTTCCAGTCTTCTTGGGTCTAAAGATAAATTGGATATTGCTTATTTGATCAGGGACTGTGAGTTCCTGCAAAGTTCTCAGAATACTAGCATTGAAAGGATAACCACATTAACCATAGGGGCAATTGGAATCTTTGATTCAGGGTCTCTTACCATTGTGTCACTCCCTTAACTTAATGAATTAATCCTTCTAGAGGAAATGCAAGCTAAGGAAGAGATATTGGGTCTTGATAAAATCTACAAAGATATTTGTAGTGGTAAGGGTTCAGCGTCATCCTGATAAAAATAAATTAACTAATTAGTAAATAAATGAGAGGAAAAAAATCTCTTACTGCATAGTAGAATGGCAGAATGCCAAGCAAGCAAATCTAGAAGGAAAGATAGAAATAGAAAGCAACATTCAGCCACTACCATATCCATGAATACAGTGGAGAAACCTGGCTGAAACCACCTCCAATCATGTTGACAGCAGAAATGGTATGATAAAAATTGTACATATTGGTAAGCACCCTGCTGAGACCTGTTTCAAGAGAACATGCTGAGAAGTTCCTGAGTGACAGACATATCCCATGGCTGTCCTGTGAATGCTGAAGTTGTGTTTCTCCCAGCTGTCTCCAGCAGTCACAGCCTGGTGAGGGACTGGAGCCTGTGAGTTTCCTCAAAGATGCAGACTGGGGCTCTATCTTTTTTCCCTTTTCCTTCATTGACAGTTTGCATATAAGTCTCTTTCAGATTTAATCCTTTTTAGCATTTACTTCTTGGAAGACCTGAACTGACACAACTAGATATGATGCCATGAGAAAAAAAGAGAAAAAAAAAAGCCACTCTTGTGATATTTCTGTCACAAATGCATAACTTGAATCTCTTCATAAGGAAACACCAGACAAACTCAAAAACTGGGGTACATTATACAAAATAGCTGGCCCATGGGCTTCAAAAGTGTAAGATTATGACACCAAAAACAAGAAGCAAAAAGCAAACAACAAACCAGGATTATTGCGGACCAAAGGAACTTAAAGAGACATGAGAACTAAATGCAATGTATGACCTGAGATAGAATCTTTTGATCACAAATTACATTAGAATAATTGGGAAATTTGAATTAGTTTGGCAATAGTTAACTAGTATTTATTTTTTCATTTGATGGCAGAAAAGGAAATACTGAAGAATTCAGGGACAGATCATCATATCTGAAACCAGGTTCAGAAAAATTACATTCCTTGTACGATTCTGGAAACTTTTTCTATATTTGAAGTTCTTATTTTTCATGAAAATAAGCCAAATTGAGTTTTATTTTTGGAGAATGGACTGGAAGAGAACAAGAATGAAAGTCTAGAAAAGTTGGAGGACTATTTCTGGTGTATGGATAAGAAAGCATAAGTTTTTGTCAAGCAAAGATAGATTCCAGAGGAGATTCAAATGATGAAATTAAGAAGACTTATTAACAAGTTGAATATGTGGAATTATAAAAAGAGGCTATTAAACATAGATTTTGGTTCTAACTTGAGCCGTGGAATGGATGCTAGCAATAAATAGCTATAGTGAAGCAAGGAAGACTAGGGAGTAATAATAATAATAATTTGGAGCAAAGCCAAGAATCCTGTTTTGAACATATAATTGAGAAACATATAGATATCTATGAGGAGATATTAGTAGGTAGTTGATTACATGGGTCAAGAACTTATACTAGAAGTCTGGGATGCAGTGCAAATTTAGGAGTTATTAGCTTATAGAGCATTGAGATGGATGAGATCACCTAGAGAGAAAGAATAGACATAAAGACCTTAGTTAAACCCTCATGACCTCCAAACTGCAGAGCAGTTGTAGGGGGAAGAGTAGCTAGAAAGACAGAATATGATTGGACAAATTTACTTCTAAAATGGAATGAAGGTAAGACTCTGTGGCTGACAGAAAGGCATGCCCAAGTTCTGGGTCTCTCAGCTTCTCTCTGAGGAGTTGTTCCTTATCATAAATAGTCTTCATGGACTGACCACTCCTTTATCCATTAAAGCATCATCTTCCATTATAATAGTGATTAAAAACAGTTAAGATGAACTCTAAATCTGGTTTCAAATTTGCACATGTAATAGGCTCACTCCTTCAAAGAGCTTTGAGAATTACTCTGTTTCTCCTGGGGCTCATTAGAATCTACCTAGGACTGAAAAACAGGTAACTATTTGCCTTATTGTATGTATAAAACAGAGTAAACTACTCATACTTTCAACTAGCAATCAATGTAAATAAATCATCAACAGGAGTTGTGACAGTTTTCTTAAGAAATACAATAAATTACAAAATACTTAAATAATCGTTCATAAAGCATTCTTATTGAAAAATTTTAACTGAGGTGTATGTGGAAGATACAAAACACAGATGGACTGATCTTACATATATTACATGGTTGCTGTTGCATAAATTAAATAAAAATACATGACATGTTCTCCACAAAGGTAGGCATTTCTGGGTACCCCAATAACAGATGAAGGTGAAAGGAAAAATAAAAATCAGTAGGCATGGGAACAATCCTTTCTAGGAACAGCAGTATTATGGTCATGATGACATTTCAGTGGGGACTAAGAAGATATTTCAAATATTCATGGTGACTCCAAGGAATCTGTGTCCTGTAGGATATGTGCTTTGTACAGTTCTTACCGAAGCTTGTTTTGGAATAGCTCCTGAGAGAGTTGATATTGAAGGACTTGATGAATCTTACTTGATCTCTTGGTCGAACAAATATTCTATCTCAATTCTGCCATTCAATTAGGAGGGGCTTTGATAAATGGACTTTGTCCCAGACTTTGCCCTAGGTTTGTGTCTTCTGTCTTTCTCACTTCAGGAGCAAACACAATGAGAACTCTTCGCTCCTAGCCCTCAATATTAATAGTGATCAGTAGTAGAGCAGTATTGGGTTACTTGAATGTTGCTTACCATTACAGAGCACTTTGAAGCCAACTGGGGGAAGTCTTCCTTGTCTGTAGCCTATGCACATGGCTTTTCTTCTATTTCTTGGAGTAGACCATGGACCCTCACTGGAACTCATCGGAAACACACATAAGAAAACATGATGTTTTATGGAATCTTAGAAATACCTACTAACTTGTATTAAATTCTCTTACTTCAAAACTCATCTTCTTGGAAGTATTTGTCTTGTTCTCTGACTTATTCAACACTGGATAGCCAAGACCTAGTACACTGTCTGGCATCTGTTAGATATTTATAAGTATTTGATGACTTAGAGAACAAAGTAATATCATCTTATATAGATGGACTACTCCTTACTTTACTGGATTTAATAAGTATTCGAAAATGTTGATAATAGATCATTTTTACTTTTCATATATGGGATATAATTTTATACAATTATGTGAAACCATAGACTTTTGATATTTCTGTATTACTAAAAATAGAAACATTTAATTTCTTGTGAATCTCTATAAACTTTCTGAACTTTTGAAAATTCGTTATTGCATGCTTTAGAGTTCAATATAATGAATATGGTCATTGGGTTTATGAATTAATTTTCTTATGCTTTCTGTAGTTCCAAGTATTTGTCTTTTAAATGCTACTTTTGTTTTAGATATTTTCATATTTCATTAAAGAGATAGTTAGAGGTATAAAGCACAGATTTTTAGAAATGAGAAAATTCATCAGTTAAGCTGAAAATATCCTCCTATGATCAGTATTTTATTTTATTTATTTGAAAGACAGAGTTGCAAAGAGAGAAATCTTAAATTTACTTGCTTTGTTCCCCAAATGGCTGCAACAGACAAGGCTGGGCCAGACTGGAGCCAGGAGCCAGAAGCTTCTTACAGGTCTCCCATGTAGATGGAAGGGACCCAAGTACTTGGGCCATCCTCCACTGCTTTCCCAGGCACATTAACCAGAAGGTGGATTGGAAGTGGAGCATCTGGGACTCAAACTAGTACACATATGGGATGCCAGAGTCACAGGCAGTGGCTTTACCTGCTATGCTATACCACCTCTCCCCAATAGTATTTTAAAACTGTAAGCATGCTTTATGGAAACAGAAATCCATATGAATTAAATGGGCTCCAAAGAAAAACTTTATCTAAATGATTTATAAGTATGTATAAAGGATACATAGTAAAAGTCCATATAGACTATATTCAATATTTAAATATTTTCTGCTTGCCTTTGTAATAAAAATAAAAGATATTTAATTTACCATTGTTCCCCTCTTACAATAGTAATAATTTAGTCAAAGGCCAACAACGTCTGATTTTCATTAAACTTTTATTGCTATACTTTGGTTTCTCTACTCTAAAAGTGCTGTTATTTTTTTCAGTTTTTTTTTTTTTTTGAATTTGGAAAACATTATGTTGAGTGAAATAAGCCAATCCCAAAGGGACAAATACCACTTGTTCTCCTTGATAGGTGACAACTAACTGAGCACCAAAAAGGAAACCTGTTAAAGTGAAATGAACACTATGAGAAACAGTGACTTGATCAGCCCTCACCCTGACTGTTGATGAGCAGCTTAATATGTTATCCTTCTTAGTATTTTTTTTTGTTTGTTCTACTTAATACTTTTGGTTGAATACTGTAATCAGTTTTTAAAAACTAAATATATATATTTAAATATACATATAAATACATATATATTTAATCAGGATTGGAAGAAAATTATGTGATTTGCTTAACATTACCTAGCTAAAAATAAATCCTTTACTTTGCTGAACTTAAAACACTATTTCATAATTACTATGACATTATCTTTAAGTTGTGATTAAAATTAAAAGACATAAAATTACATTTATATTCCCAGGAGAAAATGATCCTATATGAGCTGAAATGTTCTTTCCATTATTTTATATATATATATATTATATATGACATATATGATATGTAATATATGTAATAAATATATACATATTTTATATATGATATTAACTATATATAACTGGGAAGATGTGTTGATAATCTTGCTAATATAAACAAATAAATGCAGATCATTGAGATGTTTGTGACTAAGGCAAAGAACATCTGAATAAATTCTATTAAATGTGTTATGTGATATTTCTGGCTTCAGATGCGTAGACCCATTCCCTTCACTAGAAAGAATGACAATAAATGTATTTTCTTGATTTTTTATCCATGTTCCTTTATAAACTGATTTTGAAAATTGGTTCACCTTGAGTTTTTGTCTTTTTTTACTTCTATGGATTGTCCTAGGGTGGGATTATTTTATGATTTTGTAAAGAAATTCCCTTGTAATAAATTCTCCAAAGGTTAAAAATATAGAGAACTTGAAATAATTCTTAACAGATTTTGTATATTGATTGTATGTTCTAATTTTATCCAGTGGTAAATAAAGTTCTAATTAAATTTGTTTTTCTGCCACAGAACATATAATTGACTATGAGGCCAGTTACATTATAGAGATAGAAACTTTTGAGAATTAAACGCTGTTTAATTTTTAAATATTAACACTACTTTCCTATCAGAAAGTATTTTATTTAAGTCTTACATTATGGCTCATTTCAAGGTAAGTAATTTTATTTCTTGGCTTTACTAAATTCACATTCAAATTTATAAAATTTTCACATTAAATTATCATATTGCAAAGCCCGTATTATGTAAAGTTCATAATGAGGAAGTACTGGCATAGCAATATTTTTTTTAAAAAGTTTAAACATTGTTCTCTTTAATGTAGAAAATAGTCATTTCTGAAAACAGATCTGTGCTGTACATCCCGTAAACTAGACTTTGTTGGTCCATGGACTTCCATTATAAGTATGGAATTATTCTTTGGAAAAATGAGTGCAGCATCTTGTTTAGCTGGGATGCTGCTCTTAGGAGCAGAGCACAGATAACAAGTAACAAGGTGGCATATTCCTCCAGTGATCCACCCACTCACCTCTTGGGAAGTTGAGTGCCTCTCTGTTCCACTGTAGCTATCTGGTCTGGTTTACTGTTAGTCTCTTTTTTGGAAAGTACAAGGGTATGAATACAATATAACAGCTAACCTCTTTAGAGTTCCAGCTCTGAGTCACAATTCCAAGCACTTGCCTACAGGGATGACCTAACCCCATGATACAGAGTTTTCAGTCCCCTTTGATAAGTGAAGAAACTAAAGGGCAGTGAGCTCTTATGGCTAAGTACTTAACAATGTAGTGGATTTTAGAGATGAGCTCAGGACCACTATACTGTGTTTTTCTCTCACTTCCTAGATTAGGGCTTTCAAACATGAATGTGCTACATGGAAACCCTCAGCCCTGGAGGTCACTTCTTTTGGCTATGAGATGCTTCATCAATTTAAATCAGTCTGCCACACAAAGAAAGTTTCCGACCTGTGCCATTATGGGAAAAGTTTTATAAGCATCTTCTCTGAGTAAAGGAAACATTTAGAGATAAATATATTAAATATGTCCTATTTTGTGTAACAATAAATTTTCAGGTTCAGCATTCGTCTGATAATAAGTAACTGATAAACCTTATGCCACTCTATTTTGCTTCTTGTCCAAGTATTAGATATGAAAAGGAATTTGAGAGAAAAAAATGATAAATTTTTCATTAATGTTTTGTTAAGCTGCATATTATTCTTAATTGTTAATTAAGCAACATATAATCTAGCTAGAGTTGAAGTTCAGTCTTGAAATCATCTAAACTGGATTTAATTGTTCTTGATAGATAATATTTTACTATTCCTTTTGACTTTCTGCTTCTCAATGAATCAGAATTGTCAAGTGTTTAGGCTTGAACACTGAAGTTCAGAAGGGTATACGAGGTTACTAAGGGAACACTTTCCAAAGAAGCTGTACTTTCAGATTTGCAGTCTGAATAAGGAATGACTTAGGTTGTTCAGGAGCCTCCGGATAGCACTAAGGTGATACTGTAGAGTTCACATCATTTTGGGATCTGGAATGAAAGGAAGACAAAATAATGTAGAGTCCCAGGGTCTCAAAGGAACAGTTTAGGGAAATCCAACTGGTAATCCCACTGCCTTAAGCAAAAGTGGAGTGATGCTTAAACATGGGCACTCAAACGTTTTCATGGTGTTTTAAATTATTTATTCACAATGCATTAATCATGGAAGCTCATCTGGAAGTGTGGCTTATGGTTTTCCAGATCTTACCTCAATAGAAGTTTCCAGGTAAAGATAAAACATGCTGTAGATGAGTCAAAGAGGGAAAAATTCATTGCATCTCAACAGCAGTAAACAGAGAATTATGGTCCACATACCAAGCCTGATGGAGCTCAGTGCTGTGGTCTGGAGCCCTGAGTGCACGTGGAACACCAGGGACAGAGATGCAATGCTGACTCTGAGACTGTGAGCTTCATGACAATAATAAAGAGTCGTTGTGAAGGAAATGATTCCAGGAAGAGGGATGGGATGGGTGTGTTGGCACAGGTCGAATCATGAATTCTGTGGGAAGCATGTAGATCTGGAGGAACCAGAAAGAGATCCAAGTGGACAGTTCTTGAAAGCAGTTGAAACGTCCCTCACCGAGTCTTGTGTAGAGAGTAGGGCTGAAGTTTAGAGTTAGGGTACTCTAGTCCTTGGTACTCACTGCCTTGGGTGGGGTGGGAAAGTTCCAGGAAAGAAAGGATGAAGATAAGCTAAAGGGTCTTATCACATCGCCTCATTAACAGCCTTCACAGGAGAAAAGTTGAGCCACAAAAGAGGCCAGTCTTCCTCCTTCAAGTTCTGAACTCACTAAGAGTAATACCCTTAGGGTCTGTGCCTTCCTGGAATGCCATTCCCAGAGATGAGGCCGCTTGCTTTGTGCTCCCACAATCCTCCCTTTATTTCTGACACTGCAGTCTTCACCTACCTGTTTAGGCTCTTGTGTCACCTGGTACACACTAAGCATTCACTAATGGATGAGTGGGAGGAATGGAATGAGAAGTGGTGCTCAGGACCTCATTTAAGAAATCAAGATTCTTAGGGCTCTGGTACATTTTTCCAGGGACACAGTGTTTCAGGGACAACATAATTGGACCCCTATTGTGTGCCAGGCATTCCTGGAACAAAGGCCAGGCATTCTTATGCAATATCAGCAAGATTCTATCTGTGCCCTGGCTCTGGTTTTCTGGTACTGGCCTCATTTTCAAACAAACGGTCCCTAATTTGGCAGCAGAGCCTACATTCATACCTCCAGTAAGATTCTCTCCCTGGTGATATTGTTTGCCCACCAAGGAGGTGAACTGTCTATGGGAACACCCAGGGGACAGGAGGTGACAGTTTCCAAAGCAGGGTATGATATGCAGGCAAAAACAAATCAAAGCAACAGAAAATTGTTGCTGAAATTATTAAGCAGGCCAGCAAGTGCTGGTGGTAGTATAGAGATCTGAAGCCAACAGTGCAAGCATCAAGGCAAAGGGCGTGTATGCACTTTCTTCTTCCGACTTTCCTCCAGTACAATTAGGCTGTACCGTGGAGAGAGGGTGCCAGGCCTGGGATGACCTTTCCCATAGATGAAGGAGATTTTCAAAAGAGCAAAAACATCAACTAACAATGAAGCCACATATTAGCATTAGGATATAAAAAGTTGGTGTTTTTATTTAAACTTTCCCTTGGTTTGGAAAACAAAGTGAAACATGAAAGTTTTATGTAACTTTTTTTCCCAGAAACCTTTTATTTAAGGTATATGAACTTCATGCTTTCTGTAAATACAACTTTAGGAATATAGTGATTCTTCCCTCATAGACACCCTCCCACCCACACTCCCAACCCTCTTCCTCCCCCATCTCCTGTTCCCATTCTTATTTTTTACTAATATTTGTTTTCAATTAATTTTATACACACACAATTAACTGTGTACTAAGTAAAGAGTTAAAAAATTATATGAAAACAAAATTATTCCTCAACAGTCGAGACAAGGACTGTTCAGAATTTTTATCTTACCCACATCCTTGGTTTCTAGTTCTCTGCCTGCTGCTTTATAGCATAGGTTTGATAGCTTCCTCTCACTAGTTTTAATCTAAAAGAATGACATTGATTCAGACAGACAGTTGAAGGGACACTGTGATCAACAAAGGAGACAAAAATTTTGTCAGAACAAGGGCAAAAACAGTATGGATAATGTACATTAACCTTGCGGTCTTTGTCAGAAAAGGCACTGTTATACTCCACACATACCTCTATCTCTGAGCAGCTATGCTGTTATTTATTCATTTTTCAAATGCTACTGATGTATTTGAGAGTCAGAGAGGGAGAGAGACAGAGAGAAAGCTACAAGCCAGCAATTTATTACCCAGATGCTCACAATAGCCAGGACAGGGCCAAGGCCTTGAGCAAGGAACTCAATCCAGGTTTCCCACGTGGGTGGCAGAAAACCAATAACTTAAGCCATCACCACTGCTTCCCAGAGTTTTTCTTAGCAGGGAGTTGGAGTCAGTAACCAGAAGCAGGAATTGAACCCTGGCACTTCAATGTGGGACACAGGCATTTTACCAGGCCAAATGCCTACTGTCGCTCCCCATCTTCGTGGAGGAACGACACAGGACCCTGCGTTGTTCTTTCGTCTGCTCAGCCCTCCCCGGGTTTGCTGCTGGTTCTTCCCGGGTTGGCTACCGTCCCTTCCACCTACGTGGAAGGGCGGTTCCCCCTGGCCACTTTCCCCACTTCCGCGGGGGAGCGGCACACCGCCGGCCGGCTCTCTCGGGGGCTGCACAGGTGCTCCCTCAGATGTTCCCCTTAGATGTTCCTGGTGCATGTTGTCTCTCTCCTCCTTTATAGTCCTCTTCTGCCAATCCCAACTCTGCTACCCACACGCCGAGTACGCTGCTCTCCTCCAATCAGGAGCAGGTCCTACAGTTTATTGGTTGAACTGGAGGCAGCTGTGTAGAAGCTGCTTCTCCCTTCTCAGCGCCATATTGTGGGAGAGCAGATGCATAGAATAAGTCTTAATTCCAGTAACTTAGTCTAGTCCGGGTTGCTCCCCACACCTACTTCATATGCAGCTATCTGTTGAGTGCTTATAATAGCTCAGGAACTGTGCTAAGCACCTGACTTAGATCATTTCATTTCATTTCATCCACCCAACAAAACTAGGAGGTAAGTTGCTCTTACTCATTTTATAGATAAAGAATCAAAGATTTTGGATTCAGTAACTTGCCTGGCATCACACAGTAAGTGGCAGAGTGGGGTCAATACCTGGCAGAGCTGAGAAGCCAAGGTCTGGCCAATAGGCCGGAGTATTCAGTGCTATGTTCAAACGCAGTTACTTAATCACAAAAGAAAATACTTACTTCCTGCTTTAAATTAGGAAGCATCTGGAGGGCTTTGCATGATAATCCTTGTTACTGCACATGTCCCCCCTCTTGTCCTCTGTATTTTTATTTTATAGAGGCCTAAGGGTTAGCATCTTAATACTAAATAATCTGTTTTTCTCTGTTCCTTGCAGTAAGAAACGTAAGGCTTCGAGAGAGCCATACCACTGTACACGTTTGAAATTCCTTGTCAAAGACGGGCAACACACGGGCAACACAATACGTCGAATCTATTCAAGAGTAAATGGTGGCTTAAGTGATTCTTGTGGTTGGAATTTTCTTGTGCCAATCAAAACAGTGAGAACATTTGGTTAATTCCCTGTGAAAGTACGCTAATAAATTCAGAATTAGGAATGCTTTAGGCATAATATTTTATTTCTTCAGGTAAGAAATAAGAAGCCCCATGTGTAAAATTTATGTCTATATGAAAACAAATTAACAACTCCCTATTGGAACATTTTGTGTGGATTATGTGGTCTCTGGAGTGGGTTCACAAGATAAATTCCTTGCAAAAGTTCTATTTTTCTACCAGAATTTCTTTTGCCCCAGCACATTCTTTTTTAATTTTAATTTTTGTACATTGTTTAAAATGAACTTAATGCTTTATAATGTATGTGCATGATAGAATACATAAGTTATATCTGAAATTGTGTACTACTTATGCAATACATGTATAAGGTACAAAATCAATGACCATTTACTGACTAAATGAGGGATCAATCACAATCTGACATGTGCTGGTTTATCTTTTGAAACTATAAAATATTGGAGATTTCATGAATTGAAGATGGAAATTTCTAACATTTCTAAAATATAACAAGCATTTTGGACTCCAAAACACCAGAATTCAAAGAGCCAGAAATTTTTTAAAGGATATGTTATCTCAGAAAGAGCTAAATCAAAGCATCTGTATCAGGTGATTCAGTTAAGACTACTTGTAGGAAACGTCAGGTTCATCTCCATTAAAGAATAATGATGACTAAAAGTTACAGCAATATCCTTGGGGGCCTTGCAAATCCTTAATTATCTTCCAGTCTAAACTACCCTAATTGCCTCTCTTATATAAGTGAAGGCCAGTCATTGGTAAATGACTTTAATATGTTTGCAAATTCTTTACTTACACTTTCCATAGCTGCAATTGTCTGTGATGTGACCTAAGTGACCTTCCAGTGTCCTGACAGTTAAATCCTACCTCATTAGTTTTTGCTACAATTCCCAGTCTGTGCTCTTTTCATTTCATATTTAATACGTCTCTTGTCTTTGGGCATTTACAGAATCCATTCTCTCTGTCTCAGAGAAATACCCTTTCCTGCTCTTTGGCTAATTCCTGCTCATTTTTTTCAGTTTCAGCTAAACTAATTTTCCTTCCCCCACGTTCCTATTCATTGCCTGGCCTGTGTGCTGTGGGGCACCTTGTACTCTCCTCTGCTTTAACATTCATCACACCACATGTTTAAATGTCTGTTTTGCAGGCTAGATTTGTAATACTCACCTTGCGTTTTTGACAGATTGGACTATGTGGTCTCAATTCCCTGGACTTCCGTGTAGGCGGGGAAACAACGATGCATGACTGTAGCCTTCCTCCTTGGGGAATGCAAAAGTCTTTCTAACCATTAAAGGGCACTACATACTCCCTTTGTCAGTGAGTTTGAATTTTGTGGACGTATTAGTATATGCTTGTATATCTTGACTTCAATCAACAGTGTCCTCAGTCGGTCTTCCTTCTTTTCCCTGTCTCTCCTCTCCTTTTCTGTTTTCTAGACTGACAGATTAGCCCTGCTCGTCATTTTCGGCTCCCTCCTTATACCTGTGGTCTACCGGAAATTAATCTTGGGCCTCTGGGCAGTGTCGGCAAAATGTAAGCACTGATCCGAAAAGTGGCTGTCTGGGTAGTGCTGCTGAGCAGAACAAGAGAGTGCGCTCGCGCTCAGAGCATGGGAAGGGCCAAGCTGATTTTAGAGGGAATGAGATTTAGTGGATATTTGACCCTTGACCACAACCAGTCTTCATACAAGTTGTCCCTAATTTGGGAACAGGAACAGGTCTTTTTTTTTTTTTTTTTTTAGTTCCTAATCTTTTTTTCCTAAAGAAGAAAATGCTTTTTCTCTATCTTTACATGCACCAGGACAGACATGCTAGAAGTTATGCTGTCAGCAAAAATATGTTTTCTTATGAGGGCAAAAGCATTGCTGAATTACTGAAATTCTGTTTCATTTATGCCCTAGTTCTAATATGATTTTCACTTTTAATCGCAATAGATCATGTATTATAACCATTCCTCAGTCATTTTTTTCTGGATCATGAATTTAGATTTATATTTTATCCAGTTAGTTAACTTAAAAATTATTTTTATATTTGTTTTTATTCTGTTGAATATTTTTTGCGGATCTGAATTGCAGATTTACTCTCCCTCTCTATCCCCAATGCTAACTTAAACAAATAGATGGTCTTAAAATAGGTGCCATCTTCTAGATTTATTTTTGCAATAATTTTCCATTGCCTCTTGTGCTATTGTTGGCTTTCATGTCTTCTCAAGATTGTGCCTTACAAAGCATGACACATTAAGTTTGTCAGTTTCTTAGTGTCCAAAGCTTTCCTCTGAGCCTTTCATAAGTAGGAAAAACTCTTCTAAGTAGCTGAAAATTACAGTGTGAAATTGTTATTTAAATATTTCATTTACATTTTAATGGTTTTTACATGATGAAGTG